CGGGACCGGCACCCCGATACCCGGCACCCCCGGGACAGACCTGCCGGTACCGCCACTCGGGACCGGCACCCCCATACCCGGCACGTTGGGGTCAGACCTCCCGGTACCGCCAGCCGGGACCAGCACCCTGACACCCAGCACCTCGGGGTCTGACCTCCCGGTACCACCACTCGGGGCTCACAACGCCCACACCCCCGGCTCTCAGCCCCTTCTGCCCCCAGGGCTTCTCCCCACATCCCGTGGCGGAGAGGAACTCCCCGCGGAACCCCCAGGCCGGCACCCCCGCCCACGGCCGGTGCCACCCTGCCCTGTCACGGTTGTGTCACCCGAGCCCCTCGCTGCCCTCCCGCGCTGCCACGCTGGGCTCTGGTTGTGGCTCGAGGACCCCAAAGCGGAAAGTCGAACCCATCCGCACATCCCCTTGCAGCTCCCGGGGCTAAACCCAGGCACCCAGCCCTGWGAGAGCTCCCCACATCCAAACCCCTCCAAAACTCCCATTCCTGGAAGCCCTCAGCTCTTCCCGTCAGGACTAGAACTGCACACAGCTCGTTGCACATCCACAGTCCCGCGTCTCTTCCCTCTGCAAACTTCCTGCTTCCCCCAGCTCCTGCKCCGCGCGGATCCCCAGCCTGGTGGCCGCAGCTTAAGGCTGCAATGGGTTTTCCACATTTCCAGACACAAATTGCCACATTTCCGGGTAAGAAAACATTTGGAATAAGACTCCCCTCACAACGAGGCTTTTGTGGCAGTTGCGAAATTGCTTCTAGTTGTCAAAATACAAGTTCTAGAGTAATTGTGTGGGTCCAGCATGGAGGAAAATTTGGCTAGGAATGTCTTTGGGCAKAGCGCAGTGCATTCCCGGTCAGGAATTCTTCCCAAGCCAGCAGAACTTTTCAGGATTTACTCAGCTCCTCGAAGTGCTTTGCAAGTATTCATCTGCTTTTCAGAGCCACTCATTTCAGAAAAAGGGAAGCAGATCTTTTTATGATAGGGCGGGGAATATCCTGTTTTAATGCTGTTTTATTTTCTGCTTGTTGTTGTTGCCTTTTTTTGTTTTGTTTTGTTTCTCCCGGGAGAGGAAGATTTAGCGAAGCTCCCAGTTTCTGCACCAGAGCACGCAGGAGGCCACGACCATAAACAAATGGTTAAGGCTCRGTTTATGGCTGCGTGAATGAGGCTGCGTGACTACCTAGAGCTGGTATGAACTACGCCTGCCGGGAGCGACCTTTGGAGGGAGAAGCGGACCCGAGCCCAGGGACCTCCTCCCTGCTTTCGGTTTCCTCGCTGGCCGTTTTCTCCCTTTTGCTCCTCGCCGCTTTGCGCGCGCCGGGAGCGCCGGTGCCGAGCGCCCGTCCCGTGGGCCACACGCTTTTGGCTGCCTGCCCCTCCKTGGGGCGTCTTGGTGCCGGCAGCTCCATCCCCGTCCCGCTGCAGCTCCCGGAGCTCGGCCGGGACCCGCGGGCTCGGCCGGGCTCTGCGGTGCCGGCAGCGCCCGCCACCCGCTTTGGTCTCCGTCATCTCCCCCCTACTTCTCAAGCGCGGGGAGCCCCGTCCTGCCTCTTGCTCCTGCAAACCTCCAGGTTTGGTTCTTTATGGGGACGGAGACACCCTTAGGCAATCCGAAGTGGCTTTGAAGGGATCCAGTAGATGTTTACTTGGGATGTGGCTTCACGCTTGGAGCGCTTGAAGGCCATGCAAGGCACGTGCGCTGGCCGTGCTTGTGGTGGGACAGCAAGTGGTGCTGGTTTGCTGGTGCAG